TTACCACATTAGCAATGTATAGAGTGTATTTCTTTAAAGTTAAGACTAGTTTAAAGTTATTCTCATTGAAAAGTACAGTGCTTTTTCTTCAAAAATAAGGACATTTCAATGTAACCCCAAACTTTTGAATGGTAGTGTATATGTGTATATATATATATATATATATATATATATATATATATATATATATATATATATATATATAGCAGAGGTTCCCAAACTTTTTAATCTGAAAAAGGTTTACAACCCCCCTCCAAAAAAAAAAACCTTCCCCCAACCCCACCCCCTTAACCTCACCCTCCTCCCAACCTTCTCAACTGAACAGTCATCTGTCTTCAATGAATTACATATTGCAATAGCATAGACTATAATTTCCTTTCACACACAAAACTACCACCTTTAAAGAGTAATTATTTTAAATTTCACTGTTTATTTTACTGTGTATTTTACTGTGTAACAGAATTCAACATCAATATCAATGCATTTTATTTAAATACCTTTCAAAAAGAGTCATTCATTCAATTCATTTCTTCCCCCTTCAATTGCACTGGGCACCCCCTACTCTTGGAACCACTGTTTTACATTGTCAGGTCCTTCATTTGTTCTCTTATCATATACATTTTTAATATGCTTATTCTTTCTTCAATGTTTTCAAAATATATTTCAATGATGGGCGTCCTTGATTGTCAGAGTATAACATGCACAACAATTATTAGCACAAATACAGGATGCTAGACAGTTAAAGCATATAATATATTTATAAAGTGCTTAATATTTATAATTTTACTTTGTATATTATTACATGGAATATACCTTCAACAATGTGAAAGCTGGTATTTACATTATGTGTACAAGTCCTAGCAGGGCTGGAGATAGGAGTGAGGTCGTGTTGAGATCACGACAGGGAGCAGGTCACACCAGCGTCTTCATAGTGATCACAGTTGTGCACATTCCAAGGTATATGGGAGCATTCCAGCAGGGAGGTTTCAGCACCGCTGCACTTCAGATTGTCCAGATGGATTGTTCCTGTGCCAGGTCCAAAGTGCGCTTCTCCCCAAGCCTGCATGGCTTCTCCACAGCCCACCACACGACACACAACCTGGGCATCAGGAAGGTCCCAGGCGTCGTCACACACTGTGCCCCATCCGGAATTCAGCCACATCTCCACTCGACCCTCACAGCCGTGCTGGCCATCCACCAGTCTCAGAGTTCCTGCAAAGAAAATTGTCAATTCAGAATCGTCTCCTTCACATCTTATCCATTCTAAGTAAAAAAAATATATATATATATATAAATGCCACTGAGGATGAGGTTTACAGGAAGACCTAGCTACCTCCAGAGGGAGTTGTAGTTGCTGGTATAGTTTCTGTTGCTGTGAAATAACGTCCATTGATGGGAAAAACCTTGGGCTCAAACACTGAGGGAGCAAAAAAAAAAAAAACATATAGAAACCAGAGTGACTCTCAAACCCTACACAGGAAATATCAGGTCACACAAGCATTAGCGATGCACTCTCCTCTAATTACTGCACAGATCAATACTGGAAACCTATTACCCTTTAGCATTACAATGCAAACATCCACTTGGATGAAGAAATTCCTCTGAAAAATATGTTTCTGTCTTGAGTTTAATCCATATTTTCCCCTTAGTCAATTAAATGACATCTCCCTCATCTATTCAAGTTGTTATTTGTGAGAGTGAATAAAAACAGCTTGCTGTAAAAACAGTAAGGCTTATCCAGTTTATTTTTCATGCTTTCTGTGCCTCCCCCCCCTTAGAGGACTATAGTCATGCAGAGCTACAGCTCAGCAGGGCGGGCACCAGTGACTCTACCGATGGGAAATATGAACTTTCAGTGGAAATTATTACTTTATATATATGCTGATTTGACAAAAAGCAAAAAAAAAAAAAAATCTCTGGGTTTAATGCATAATCCAAAACAATGAGGCCTTACATGCACAGATAACACCAGCATCCTCATGATGGCCGCAGTTGTGCTGACCCCAGCCCAGGTGGAAGCACTGGGACAGGTCGCGTTCTGTGCCCCTACATTCCACGTTATCCAGAAGGATGGGACCCGAACCGTAGCCGAAGAAGGCCTGAGTCTTGGCAAACAAAGCTGGGCCACATCCGACTGCTCTGCACACCACGTCAGCGTTAGTGAGGTCCCAGTCATCATCACACACGGTTCCCCACACGGTTTTGTAGAGAACCTCTACGCGACCCTGACAGCTGCTGTTGCCGTTCCTCAGACGGATGGACGTTTTGACTGGAGGTGGATGAACAGACAGGTACATCATAGCAGCATGGGAACAAACCTGCCTTGTAAGATTGCTTTGAAAAAGTATTCACACCCTTAAACCTTTTAATAATAGGATTCACACTAAGAAAAAGCCAGATGGGAGGAACATCTGTGATGAACAGATTCTTACTTTAACTAGGCCATTCTGAAACCTTAACGTCCTCTAATCTTTTGTTTATAGTAGGTGTCCTGATGCATAGAAAACCTCTTCATGAGTCATAAATCATTTGTAGGCTCTAACTGGTTTTCTTCTATTATTGTATCTCCATCTATCTCCCAATTAGCTTCCCTTTCCTTGCCAAAGAAATCAGCCCCACTGCATTATGCTGCCACACGTCGGTGGTGCGTTAAGCGTGATGGTTCTAATTTCCTTCTTTACCCATTTTCTTTTTAATAGAAAATGGGTAAACCACATATCTTGTACATTTTGCTTCAATTAATGATCCCAGTAAAATACATCAAAGATTTTGGACACAAGAAATAACAAAGAAAAATCTAACCTTGTTGATATATGACGTATTAATTACCTGGAGACTGTGTTGTAGTGGAAACTGTTGTTGTTGTAGTTGTTGTTGGCCTGGTTGTTGAAATTGTTTCTGTGACTGAAAAAAAAAGAAGGATGTTTAATCAACAGAATATTAGGTAATAAATATGTCTTTATTTTGTTTAAGGGTTAATAATTTTTTCCTTTTTTATATCCTGACTCACTCCATTACATATATGGTCAGATATTTAATTGGGAACTCCTTTGAATGGCAGGATGGTGCTGTCATCTTTATTACATCATTTAAATTTCAAACTAAACACACAGAGGAAACTAAAATCCACATCTTCTAAGTCAAGAGGGAGAAATAGCCCCATCTGGTGGCGATCTATGTAAACTGCAGGTTTAATTGTAATGACAGGGAAACGAAAAACCAACCCAGCTCACTTGCAAACTAAAGACCTTGATGTGCATTTTGTTGGATATATTTACCTGTGATCTCTGTCGTTTCCAAATTAATCTTCCGTGCTGCTGTAACTGCAGGCGGAGCAGTGCTTACTCCTGAAATGTGAAGTTGAAATAAATTGAATTCCTTTACAGAGAGAATCATTTACACTGTAGGGTCTTTACTGTGCTATGGCAAACTCAATTACAATAACAATTTAATACTATTGCAAAAGCCTTATAACTACAAAATCATTAAGACAGTGTACCAGTGCAGATGACCCCAGCATCCTCATGATGTCCACAGTTGTGTTTCCCCCAGCCCAGGCTTTTGCACCTCATCAGCTCCTGTTCACCGCCGTGGCAGTTGACATTGTCTAGAAGAATGAGCCCGGTACCATAGCCAAAGTAGGAGTTGGTTTTCGCATGGACGGCGCTTCCGCAGCTTAGCTGCTGGCACACCACCATGGCATTGCGGAGGCTCCAGTCATCATCGCAAACCGTCCCCCAGTTTCCCTGGTAGTAGATCTCAACCCGGCCTTGGCAGGAGTTCTGGCCATTCACCAAACGGAGAGCGCCATCACCTAAAATTATAAGGAGGGGGGAGAATATTTAACTGTGGATTTTGTGCTTAAATACCAAGAAGATGTCTTGAAAAGATACAAGAAGAAAAATAACTGAAACTGAGACAAAAACACATTAAGGCCAGAATGGAAAGTCTAGCCTCTACAGTTGCAAAAAGCCAACACTCTTCACCTTATGTTTCTTCCTGGACAAAACGCAAAGACAATAGACATTCTCATGTGTCTGTTAGGTCGGGGTGTCATGAATGTGGAAGGCCTCTTTATCCCTGCTTTCACCATGGTCACCAGAGAATTAGCTAAATACGTCACACGGCCGATTTTACACAGAATTTGACTCATCTCTGCTTTTCTGTGATCATCTTGGGAACAGATGGAACAACAAAAGAAAACAATATGGGCGGCGCAACAAAGGAAAACCTTTTTAAACAACAGAAGTGACCTTTTGGGTGTGTTCTAAGGCTTCCCTGAGGACATCCAAAGGGATACAGTCCACCGAACACTGCGGCTGTTTAAAGTCACAATGTTTTTTGTATCGAGTTATTTATAGAAAATGTTGCTTTTTTTAAAGGGATGTGAATGTGACTAGTTAAGCAATGAATTCACAAACCAATGTTTGTCATTCACTATGTGGTAATGTTTTATAAAGGAGGGACTCGTCTATAACCATAAATTCCTATAGTACCTCAAAGCTGTTTAAAATGATAGATGTGGAAAATTCTATGGGTATAAATGTTTATATTTTTCAAAACATTTAACTGTTGCTACATTATGGAGCCTAGGTGGAAGTTCAACTGAAGAAACTCATTGCTCTCCCCCATCCACCTGCGACACAGCCAATCAGTTTCAAACCACACCTCCACGAAAGCCAATCGTCATTCAAAGTAAATCTTAAAAGGCCTTCAATCCGCACTTGGCTGCTCCTGTGTGCAGGTGGTGGATGCGCTGTGTAATTTCATTCAGATGACACCGTTTCAATCCTCCTCCACCATCGTAGCCAAAACTTAATTGGGGGGTTTTACCTCCCGGACTCTTACTACGTTCCCTGTCTCATTTTAACTGGTCTGGCAGAAGACCACCATGTTAAGCCTGGTTCTGCCAGAGGTTTCTTCCCAATGGGGAGTTTTTCCTCTCCACTGTCGCTCCATGCTTGCTCATCATGGACAGGTTCTCTCAATCTGTGTTATCTGACTGGACTTCCATCTTCCAGGTCCCTGAGTGAAGCTCTAGTATCAGCTCACACAGTCACTGGATCTCCCCATAAAGCTTAGCAGACCGTCTCACTAACCAGCAGTCTACAGACTGACCAACTTCATCTATCTCCACTCCACCACCAGTTTCAGGCCTGGGGGGGAACAGCCCTATTCTTTGCTCCTGTTCATGCATATCTATCAAAATGAAGCGCTATGTTTCCTGCCGAGGTCTGAGCACCAAAGACAAAGTAATTGTATCAATAAATTTCTCCTAATTGTCTTTTCTCTTCCTGTGAGTTTTTCAGATTGAACTTACCTGTATGCTAACTTATTTCATTGCAGTATCAACATTGCAGGGCATTTTTCAAACATTTATGCCATTTTATCAGATCTGTTCAGTAAGAATTAAACCCAGAGGACTCCGCAGGGGAGGAACAGTGGACGATCAGGAGACGAGACAAACACTAAAACCCTCTTTCCACTGGCAGCTAGGATCCAGGACATGAACCAAATAAAAACTGAACAGAAAGACGGACAGAAAGACAAGCAATGATCTGGCACTGAATGCTCAGGCTGAACTGAATATAANATAAAAACTGAACAGAAAGACGGACAGAAAGACAAGCAATGATCTGGCACTGAATGCTCAGGCTGAACTGAATATAAACCAGAGGAAACAGGTGAGGGGAATAAATTATAATTGAGGCTGGGAAGGAAGAGGGCAGGTGAGAGGAATTACTAATTAGGGGAGAGCAAACAGGCCAGATCATGACAGGTACATTTGTAGTTAATGTCGATATATGGTTACAACTGTGAACCAAATGATTGAAAGTACCTAAAGGTAAAGTGGAGGATGTTCGTTTTCTGGGTGGTCCTCCTAATTTTTAATCATTCTGGCGATATGTTTACGTAAGGCGGTCGACATAATGGAAAAATTGCAAATCTACTTTTGCAAAGTAAGCTTGTATGAGTGATGCAAACAGCAACTTTTAAACAGAGCGTGCACGAGGAGAAATGGGCTTGTGCACGCTCTCGCACGCGTTTAACAGGCGTTCCCTCTCCGTAGCGGGTGCAGGGTTGTGCATGTGCATTTTTTTTATAGTGGAGAGGGCTTGTCTTTCCAAAAAATTGCAAAAATCCTCCTCTATACCTTTAATTAAATAAAGTACTTTAAACTTTATTTTGTCAAATTTACAATTGAAATATGAAATGGGAAATTGTGTAATAAATATTTTTTTTCAGTACATTTAACCTCGGGAATAATCTCAACTATTGTTTTTAGATTATAAATAACTTAAATAACTTAATTAAAAATACCTACTATTATCAGGGAGTACTTGTGGCTAACTCTGCCACACCATGAGTGAGGTCACTGTTGGATTTAATGGTTTACTGTTCAATCTTGCAAGGCTGGGTAACAATTTTTTATTCAAAAAAGATATTTGATTACTTTTGATTTTAAGTCAATATTAGATCAATGATTGCTTCAAAAGATTTGAGAACTAGTTACCTGTTCGGGTTTAAGCTGCAAACATATATTTCATCAGTAGCCTCCTGATTGAGGAAGTCAACATTTTGATATATAACTTGCTTAATCAGTAAATTCTCCTGTGAGCTTGTAGTGGTGAGCAGATGATGCATTACAATGGAAAAAACAGAAATCTAGATGAGTCATTTTTTCTTAAAATAAATACATTTGTTCTTGGATTAAGGAGGTAAAACAGACATTTTAACAATGGAAGAAGACAATTTAAACTTAAAATAAGAAAACACAATTGCATTGTCTTATTTCAAGTGCATATTATCTAATTATCTTATTTTAAGAGTAAAAATATTCATTCCATTGTCAAACTATCTCATTTACCAACTCAAATTAAGGGTAAATACACTTAATTTAAGACATTTTTACTTATTTCTAGATCATTTTTCCAGTGTATGTGGCCTATAGTCCAGGACTGGTAATGTAATGATGGAAGCAGTTCTCACTTTTCTATACCTACCATATTTTTTAGATTTAGGAAATTCATGCCTTGTAAATTTAAGTTAAACAAAACAATACAATACAATAATAAACAATACATTGAATTTTAACCACACAGGAGAACACTTACGTAATCCAGAATTCACCATGGGAGTTGTGATGGGCTGTGGAAACCCTCTTTCCCCCAGAGCTATTGGTTCTGGGAATGAAACATTAAATGTTTTTAAAAATGTTCTCATAGTGCTTTACTGTTTTCTATTTTCTGAGAAGTTTTACCTCTACAGGTGATTCCCACATCCTCATAGTGGTAGCAGTTGTGGACACCCCAGCCAAGGCTGTGACACTGACTCAGGTCTGTTTCACTTCCCTGGCAGTCAACGTTATCCAGCGCAATGAGTCCAGCGCCTTGTCCAAACTGGGAGCTGCTGCCCACGGCCACAGCCACCTCACATCCCAGCTGCCTGCACACCACGTTGGCGTCCACCATGTCCCACTCGTCGTCGCACACCGTACCCCACGAACCATTGTATTGCACCTCCACTCTGCCCTCACACCTGTTACGGCCATTCACCAGTTTGACTTTGGAGAGACGAGATGTTTTTTTTAGTTTGCAGTGTTAAAACAAATGTGTGTTTTCCTTTAACTAAGGTCGGGGTTTCCCAAAGTTTGGATCAGAAGATGATTTTCACTATAAGGAGTATGGAGGGCCAAAGTACATCATGAAATAAATACATTTAAATATCTACTGCCATAGGTAGATAAAACATTTACTACCTAATCTATTATATGATTTAAATATTAAATATGCAATTTTTATTGCTGAATAATCAAAATGACATTTAAAATGGGGAAAAATAACAATTTCACATGAAAAACTCTTTAAAAATAAGTAAAAATGTATATTTCTAATAACATTTCTATTTCTTAAAAATATCTATTTCTATTCCATGAAAGATGGAGCAAAACAAAATGTATCTATCTAATATAAAATTCAAATATTAGATATGCATTTTAATTATAAAATTTAATATTTATCTATCCTGCAGAATAACCAATATTACATTTTAAGCATGAAAAATAGGAATTACACTTAAAAACTTTCTAAAATGAGTAATAATTTCTTGAAATAAGTGGATGTAGCCATAATTTGAGTAGGTAAATAAGATGCCATTGGATTATTTTTACTCTTAAAATAAGACAATTAGATATTATGAAATTAAAGTAAGACAATTCAAAAAAAATTTTCTTATGTTAAATGTAAACCATTTTATTTAATTGGCTAAATGTCTCCCTTACCTGCTAAATTCAAGAAAAATAGCACGTATTTTGATTTAAAAAAAACGACTTACTTTGATTTCAATTTGTGCAGCGTACAGATTACATTTATTTAAAAAAAAAAAATTCATTGCTATTTTTTTAAATCAGACAGTCAAAGATTTGCTTTCATTTCATGAGATGACTGGAAGTTTTTCCCCCCCAAACGTTATTTATAGACATTAATATCTCACCCACCATGGTACCTCCCCAGGGTCTGCACCGTATTACCTGAAACATAAAGACAAGAATCTTTAGTTATTTCTTGATGGTTTGCTTCTCAGCCTTCCATATGTAATGCACTCTTTTATTTCCTATAATGCTAGACTCAGACCAGAACCACAGATTAAGGTCTATGTGGCATCAAATCTGTTTTCCTGATCATATAATAAAACCTAAAAAAAAAGCTGTTTTCACCACAAAACATTGGGAATGTTTGCTGTACTACCACCACAACAAGAGTTATTATTAGTATCATTTAGAGGTTTCCCATTCTCTCAACCGAAAAAAAAATGCTCAAATTATTTTCTTGACTGACTCACAAAGGTTTTTATGCATCTTTTAATTGTTACCATCAAAACTAAAGGCTTCCTGTTTGATCCACTTTCTCCAATAACTGAGCAGCCACGCTCTTCCTGCTCAGGAAAATAAAATCTCCACAGCATGACACTGTCACCTCCATGTTTATTTGTTGGGATAGTGTTTCTTTCAAAAATCACAACTCTATCAAAAGGAGCAAAAATATTTTGGTAATTAAATGTATGTAATTTCACACAAAAAAACCCCGACAAAAATTATTATTGTAGACTTTCTAAATTCAAAGAAACACAAAAATTTGACATTTAATTAAAATTTCTATGTTTCGACACACTTCAGAAGGAGAACAAAAGATATTCTTGAACAGGAGGATTGGTAAATAGCAGAAGAAGTGGTTTCATCCTTTAAAAAAAGGCAGCCTAAGTCCAAAAGCAGCATTATGCATTCCTCTATCACCCTGGGATTATGAAGGCCAAATGTAGAATGGATTTTTTTTTTTTTTTTTTGTTCTGCCCTGTTGACTCTGGAACCCTTCCCATTTGTGCCCTTCATCTTTAATGAATACCAGACGTTAGTCAAGCTTGCTTCTCCTCTGTACTTGAATTTCTTTAAATTATGTGGGTTTTATTTTTTATCTTTTTGCTTAATGCATTCCCTTTCACTGAGTCCTTTATTTATTTATCATTTATTTTTTGAACGGATCTGGCAAAAATAATAATCTATAATACTGGTTTAAGAAAACAGTTCTATCACAGTTAATTCAATTGATTTTGAATACTGACTGTTTGTTTTTTTATGCTTTTTTTTAAACCCTCCTAAAGAAAATATCCTTTTTAATAGATAAATCATCTTTTTTTTCAATGGGCTCTTTTTATCTACTCTGCAACTTTGTTTGTTGATGTAAAACATTTAAAAGTTAAAATGCAAAAATTGGACAAGGAGATAAACAGAGTTTGACAGATTCGGTCTTACCTGTAAAAAGCAAACAGTGATATCCATTTATGCACTTGAGCTTTTATGATGCCAGGTCTTTCTTTTTAAACGTATCATGTTTTTTTACATTGTTTACTTTTTTGCGATATCTGAAAACTTTAAGCATCTTGGTTAACCTTTCATTCAAAGCAGCGCTCTACCCAAAGTAAATTTAAACAAAAGGGATCAAGCTCATATTACCTCTTTCACAGCCATCAATAGAAAACCACAGAATTACTACTTATGGTTTTTAAGCCTCAAAGTTTCTCTTCTTTTGTTTGCAAAAGAAGAACATTTTTATCTTTTTTTTAAACTTCTGCTGTGATGTTAAATCATAGCTTATGTTGCAAATAGGAAGTGAAAATATTCAAATGAATCTTGTTCCTGAAAGCTTCCCTATATTCATTTTTATGTTTTCATTAAAACAAAAGCAATGTGAAGCTGGGAAACATCAAACACCTCTAAACTAAAAAAAACAGTTTGCAGAATCTTCTTTATTTGTTGGAAAGGAGCAGCTGGCCTGGATGGTCAGCAGGGGGCGACACTTTAAAGGAATAGTACACCCAAAACATGATTAGCCTTCATTTTCTACTCACCCCCATGCTGAACAACAC